TATTTTTTTAATGTTATTTTTACTTTTTAGTAGGGTTCGAGGTAGTATTAGTAAACAGATAAATTTAATACTTTTTTATTTTTAAAATTATTTAGCTTTAATATAGTAAATCTTTTTTTAAAAAAGATTATCTAATCTTCTGGTCAGGCTGTTGGGCTAAATTCTATGTTTTTTTTAGTTAATAAATAATCTTGAGATCAAAATAAAATAAAGTCCCAACTATCTATTTTATCAATAATTTAAAAATTTAATAAATATAGAATATTTTAAATTATAGTAGTCTAATATAACTTATATTAAATATAGTATTTTTTTCTAATCTAAAGTACTATTTGTTAAAATAGTAAATAATAGTAAATAGTTTTTTATTTTAGATCTTATAGTTATATTTGGCTAGTATATATATTTCTTTTAAAAAATAGGTAACTAAATATAATACTTTATTATCTTTATATTGAAACAGAACTTCTTTTAAAATAAAGTTAGAAGTATTAGTTTCTACTATAATATTATAAGTCTAATTAAACAATTATAAAAGAAAAACTTTAATAAAAATATTTTTTAATTTTTTAAATACTTTTTAGATGATAAGAAACCAGTTAAATAAAATATTTTTTATCAGATATACAAATAGTATAGTTAATTTAGAGATGTTCTTAATAAATTAGCAGTAGAAGTTGCTAAAGTCTAAAAAAACTTGTATATTGATTATATAAATTAAATTTAGCTACTAAGCTATCATTTTAATTTTTTAAAATCAACTTGAAATTTAATACAGCCTATAATTAGGTCAAAGAACTTTATTTCTAATATTGTTAAGGGAAGATGGGTTGGTTAGACATATAATAGTAGCAGTCCATTAATTTCAAGACTAATTCTTACTATTCTAAAGATATAGTAAGATTCAAAAAGTTAAATACTAAAAGAAGTTTAAGTTATTAATATTATAATTTTTTTATTAAAAATATCTAACTAAGCTATTAGTAGTTTACTATATTTCTAAAAATTATTTATAATAATTAGGAGTTTTTTATATACAGCTATTTTTAATAGTATAATAGCAGTATAATAATACTATTTTAGTAGTTAAACTAATTTACTTAATTAATATAGTAGCAGCTAGCAGAATCTAGCTAAAACTAATTTTTATTAAATATAATTATTATAATTTAAATTTATTTACTTTAAAAATATAACATTTCTTTAATATAGAATATTAATATTATAATGATATTTTAATATTTATATTAGATAATTTTTTTATTATTTAATTTTATTGCCGCTGTACTTTATCTATATTTTTATATTATTTTTATTATGAATTATTTTCAAATCTGTTTTATTAAATATAAGAATATATTTTTCTATATTTATAGTACTACTAAAATACTAATAAATTACTATAAACTTATTAATAAAATAAAATATTTATATTATTAATTTTTTGTTTTCTGGCTATTTGGTTTTCTTTATATATTATATAATATTTAAAGTACTTGTATACTTTAGTCAAAAGTTTTAATACTATTAATAAAAAAAGTTTATATTTTACTATATCTTTAATATAGTATTATTAATAAAGTATTAGTAGTATACTATTAAAAAAATAAACTATAATTAATAAGCTTTTTTTAAAAAAAATTAATTTTTTTTAATTTTATATTATTTTAGTATATAAATTAAATATAATTTAACTAATTATAATAATATTTAAAAATACTGCTAATTTTATTATAATTTTAAAATAAGCTGATTTTTTCAGAATATTAAAAATAAAAAGTTTAGATTTTAATTTTATATTATTTAATTATATATACTACTGCTGCCCTGGCCGGTAAATTTATTAATATAAAAAATATATTATATAAAATATTATATTGTTATTATTATAAAAAAACTATAGCTATAAGTTTTGATATTAATATAATAAATAAATATTAATAGTTTATTAAAAGTATATAAATATTTATTATAATTTTATATTTAAATATTATGTTTTAATTATTTAGATTAAAAATAATTTTAAATATTATTCTTTTTTATTTAATTATACCGGCTATTTACTTTAGTTAGTAGTAGTAGTTATTTTTTTAAATAATATTATTTAAAGAATTACCTATCTATACTTAAATAGGTAGAAAGTAAAAAAACTATTAGTATAAAGCTTATTAAATAATTCTTTCATAAAATTAAATAAAAACCTATAGAATTAATATTATTTTATTAATATTTATAGCTTATCTTAATATTTTAATATTTTTTATCATACTATTTTAGCCTGTTAAATATATATAATCTAAACTTTTATTTTTATTTACTATATAACTTTAATATATAAATATAAATAAAACTAATATATAATATAATTAATTTATAATATTTTTATTATAATATATATATATATACTATATATTTTATAATTATCTTATTATTATTTTTATTATATATTAATTTTAATTTATAATTTACAGAGTAGATAACTGTAACTTAATTATTAAATTTTTAAATCTTTTACTAAGTATTTACTAGATTTCTTATAGGAATTATTAGTTATAGTTTAAAAATAATTCTATCATTTTACAAAATTAAACTAATTGTTTTAATAGTATAAATTATTTAATATTTACTCTACTTTTTATTTTTTATTCTTATCTTGATCTGGTATTAGTAAAGTTTTAGAAATATTTTTTTTAACTTTTTAAAATTCTAGTAATAAAATATAAAAAATATTATATAATTAAATATATTTATTAGAAAATGTAAATTAATATCTGTTTTTTTACTGCTTTTAAAATTCTAAAAAATCTTATAAATTTAGAATTATTTTTAGTAAGTTCTTTTAAACTTAATATTTACTATAAACAGTTTAATTAAATCTTTTTATTTCAAAGTATAAATTTTTTTTTACTTAAAAATAGCATACTATAATAATAATTATAGTAAATTAAACAATTTTTACTTACTTTCTACCAGGTTTTTTATAAGTCTTTTTTACAAAGTTTTAAATTCTTTAGTTTTTTAAATATTAATAATACCTCTACTTTTATAAAGTTATTTTTAATTTAAAGTCTGAATTTAAAAAATAATCTATTAGTACTTTAAAAAGTATTATTTTAATAAATATATATAAATAATTATTAGAAATAAACTCAGCTTTACTAAGTAGATTTATTTAATAATTATAATTTTTAGTTATAAAATATTTTAAGTAGCATTCAAGGACTTAGTTTACCTGTTTTATTTAGCTATTAATTTAAAAATAATATATTATTAATAATTATTAGTTAATTTTAGTTTAATAGTAAAAGTTAAACCAAGATTAACTAGTAAATAAAAAGTTTTTATTAGTAATAATACTATATAAAACTTTATATTTAAATTTAATTTTTAGTAGAGTAATTCAGCCAGTTTTGAAGCTTAAAGTATATATAATTTTTTTAAAAAAAAGTATATTTCTATAAACTTATTATTTAGTATTAGAATAAAATACATCTAATAGTTTTAATAATATAGTTTAAATAATTTTATAATAAAACTTATAATAATTTTAGCCTATAGTCTTAAAAGAATTAGTAGACTTTTAAACTTTTTATATAATTAATATCTAAATATAGTTAAATATTAGTAGATAGAATATATTACTATATAATTTTCTATATTATTTTAAAAACTAATTAATAAAGTTTTTTCTAAAATATTTATTTAATCTTCTTTTATTTAAAGTATTCTGCTAATAGATTATTATAGTCTTATTATAGTAGCCTTTAATATAGGCCTTCTACTTTTAGTATATAAAATTTATTTCTAAAATATAATAATCTATTAGTTATAGTTTTTTAATGTCTACACACTTAACTTTTTTTCTTCAAAATTTTAGGATCTTCATTTTAAGAAGCTTTAATTAAGGTTTTTAAATTATTATTATAGTTAGATTTATAAATCTTTTTAATTTTACTTCTTTTTTTATAACTATAATACTATTAGTTTATTTAAAGTTTATTATATAAACCACAGTCCAGTTAGCTAATTTTATACCAGTAGTATTTCTAGACCTATTTAATATTATATAAATATTAAATCTAAATCTCTTTTAGAAAGGTATTTTACTATATTTAAATTAGATTTTTTAATTTTAAATACTGCTAAGACTTTAGATACTACTAAAATAAATACTTATTAATTATAAAGTACTTATATAATATTTTTATTATATTAGCTTTTTACTAGTTTAAGTAATCTAAATAGAATATTAGCCGAGTTGCTGTTATTTAGTTTATGTTTAATTATAAAATTAAAAAAAGCTAAATTTATATACCAGTATATTTAATATCTATTAAAGTACAGTTAATTTATAAAAAAACTAGAAAATTTATATAGTTAAATAAAATTTTAATTAGATATTAAATTGTATTGAAATATTAGTACTAAAATTAAAATAAATACATAATAATAAAAAGATTTTAATTTAAAGTCTTTTAATTTAGACTTATATCAAAGAACTTTCTGAGCTAAATAGCTACTATATAATATTATTTTATTAGATTAGATTAGATTAGAATATCTACTATTTTTTATTATAGGTATTAGTATTAATTTTAATAAACTGTATAGAATTAAAAAAGTACAAAAACAGTTTAAAATATATAAATAAATTAGTAGAACCCCAGTTTTTATCTAAAATTAAATAATATATATTAGGTTTTTTACTATTTTAATTTATTTCAGCAGATTAGTTAAAGGTAATACTAATAAAAAAGTTATAAATAAACTTTTAATAAAAGTTCTAAAAGCTTAAAAAAGTCTAAATATTGGAGTAGGTAGTAGATAACAGCTATAAAATAATAGTATTAATTTAATTAAAACTTATTAAAATCTTTTAAAAATATATAATATAGTCTAGAAATTTAACTTACTGTTAAAAGAAAAAAAATTTTAAAAATTTAATATATAAACTAGTTTATTATAATTATACAAGTATCTGTTTAATACATTTAGTATATTTAGATTTTGTTTATAAAAATTCTAAAAATATTATTTAAATATATAATATAAATAATTTTAAGAATATTGTATAATATAAAATATATATATTGTATAATATAAAATATATATAGTTTAAAAATAGATATATTAGTTAAGCTAAATAGTAATATTATATACTTAAAATAGCTGTAATATATATAAAGTATAGTCTTTTGTTTATTTATTCTTCCAATATAAATATAATAATAAGTATTTTAAATATTAATCTTACTAAAGTATTTATATCCTATAGAATAATTTAGAATCTTAGAAATTAAAAATAGTAAATATTAATTTTTAACTATAATTTTATTAAGTTTATAATAGTTTATATATAGTTATAAAATTTTATTTTCTTTAAATATAAAAGAATACAGGCCTCTGCAGGACTATTAAATAAGTATATTTTTTTATTTATAATATTTTTATTAATGTAATTTTTAAATATAAAAGGTTTTTATTTTAATAGGGGGTAAATAGGTCTAAACAGCAGTAATTTACCCTTAAAGAATTTTAATAATATAGTTTTTATTATAATATTCTAAAAAAACTTTAGATTAATTAAATAAGAAATAATAAAAAAATTAAAAAGTTCTGCTAGAATAGATTTATTTTAGTAGTATTTTTTATAGATTATTATTATTAAAAAACCAGAGCTTTTTTAAAAATTTAATAATAGTATAAATATAAGTATAGTCTTAGTAAGTCTTAGTAAATTTTTTAAAGTTTAGTTTTTAGATTTTATAAATTTAAACTACTACTGTTTACTTTAGAAAAATAAATAGATTTTATAATTAAATAAAATAATTATAAAAAATAATATTAGAATATTTTAAGGAGTAGTAAAATATAATCTACTATAATATTACTATATTCATTTTAAATTAATAATATTTAATAAAATATTTTATACTTTATAGCTAATTACAGTAATATAATTAATAACTTTTAGTTAAAATAAAAGTTTTAACAAGTTTAAAAAGTCTATTACTATATTAAGTTAATATTAATGAAATTATAGGCTGTATAGCTATTAATATTTATATAGATTTTTCTATTATAAAATATTCATAATGGTATTAATATATTATTAGTAGTTTTTATTTTTTAATATAAGACTAAGACAGGGGAGTTAGTCTTAGCCTATATTATTTTTTTATATTAATTTTTTTAGCTTATAATTTTAAATTTAAACTGGTTTTCTTTAAAGATATTAATTTCCAAGATATTTAGTACTGTTATATAAAAAGTATTATAATAGCTTTCTAATTATATTAGTATAATTAGGTCTGAAGATTAAAAATTGGGTGTTTTTATAAAATAGTAAAGCTTTACTTTTTTAGTAGGTCAAAAATATTACTTTAAAATATTAAAATAAGTATGAAATTTATAAATTATTTTATTAACAGGCTTTTCTAACTGACTTATTATATCAGATGTAAATATAGTAGTATTTTAGATAAAAAAACGGACTATAAATAACTAATACTTTTTATATTTTAATAATAATTTATTAAAATAATACTATTATTTTTATTAATAAATTATATTTATATAGCTTACGGCCTTAAAAATCTTATAATAATCATTATAAAATTTAAATAATATTTAAAAAAAAAATTATAATTTAGATTATAAAACCACTTCTAATACCTTTAGATATTAAAAAAAGTTTAAGTTATAAAATATTTTTAATTTTAATATTTATTTTAGATTTACTTAGCAGTAAAAAGGGCTTTTTTAGCTAAGTTAATACTAATTTAATATTATTATATTAGATTTTTTATTATAATTTAGCAGCTTATCTTTGCAGTTGTTAATAATTTTATAATTTATTAATAGTATTTTTAACTATAGTAAAATCCTCTACTAAAAAATCTAGAAATATTAATAGGAAAAAACTTTTAGTGATAAATAGGTTTTCTAATTGTAAACTGCTATCTAAATCTATTAGTTGTAATAATATACTATATTTTATAAATAACTAAAAAAATTAAAATCAAATCTTTTAAATTTTTATTTTTATAAAATATTTTATAACAGTAATTGTTATATAGTTTTATAAACATCTTTAATTCTAACTAGTAGTTTTTTAGAATATACAGCCTTTCTATAAAATAAAGTAGTTTTTAACTAATATTCTATTATAAGTAGTTTTTTATCTGTAGGTGTTTTTTTGTAAGTAAACCTTTTGTATAATTCTTTTTATTTTATGTACAATATTTTTATAAGGCTATATTTTAGTGGTACTAATAGTCCCTTTAATAAGTTAGTAGATAAACTTTTATAATAACTATTTTCTATATAGTTCTTTTATTTTTTATATAAATATTTATTAAGTTGGTATCTTTTATAGTATTTTTACTAAATGGATTTTACCTTTTATAAATGTTATTATTTTAGTTTTTATTGTATAAAAGTATGCCTTTTACAGAGCCTTTATGGTATTATAGTTAGATATTTTTTATATACTTTTTATAGCTTTATAAAACTATTTTTTTATAATTTTTTTAGTAGCCCAAAACTGCCCCTTTTATATATCTTTTATAGTATAATAAAATAATTTATTCTGTAGGGTTTATATAGCTTTATATAAGTACATTTAATATATTTTCTATAGTATTATAACATAATTTATTTTATAAAATCTTTATAATTTTATAAAGATATATTTATTATAATTCTTTCCTAGTATCTATAATTAGTAATAGGTTTAAGTACATAACTAGTTGTTTTTTTATTCTAAAGAACTATTTAATTTTTATATAACCACTTTTTTTTAGCTTTTTAGAGTTTTTTTATTGTCTGTTTTCTATAAGTAAAATTTTTAGAATGGTATATTTACTGGATTTTATAATTCTAATCTACATATTAAAGAGATTTGAAAACTATAAGCTGTTATATCTATTTAATCTGTTTTTATAAAAGCTTTTTATTTATTATAAGATATTATAGGCTTTTATGATTTATTATTATTTTTATTAAATATTTAATATCCTCCAGCTAGTACCTCTACTTTTTAAATAATCTTATAAATATAAAAAGTTTTTAGTTATAAATACTATAATTTTACTTTATAAAAATTATTTTTTATAAGTAGAATACTACTGGCTTTTATTAACTTTTCTAATTTTTAATAATAATTTTTTACAAATTATAAAGACTACAATATCTATTTTAATTTATAAACCACTTTTTTTAATATACTATAATTATATCTTTTATGAATATATTTTCTAGCTTTTAAAAGCTTTTATACGCTTTAAGTATTAAGAAACTATATCTAGTTTTGTTTATAAAATATTTTAGTAACATCTATAATTAGTACTATAATTTATAAGTATTATTTAAAAAGGTATTTATATTAGTTTACAAAGCCTATAAACTTTATAATATTTTTGATATTCTATATTTGAAATAATTATAAATAGTTGGAATATACTCTATTTTATATAAATATTCTTACAGCTAATTAAAAACTTCAAAAGTAAATTTTTATTATTATAAAATAATATTTACTGAACTTTACAAATAATTTCTTATTTTATAATATTTTTAGTACTTTATAGACGTGTGCTTTATATATCTTTGAATTTTATAAGTATATTATAATATTATCTAAATAAATAATCATAATATTATCTAAGTATTTTATGAATAATAATATTTATAAAGTTTTAGAATTCTATAAATATATTAATTAGTCTGAATAGTATAACTAAGTATTTAAATAACCTATACTTTATTTAAAATACTATCTTTTATTTATATTATTCTATAAGTCTAATTTTATAATAGGTTTTATAAAACTTTAATTATATAAATCTAGGATTTTTATAAGTTAATTAATATATTTATTGATTTATAATAATAAACAGATATTTTTTACTATCTATTTATTCAGTTTATAATAGTTTATATATACTTATAAAATACTATTCTTTTTAAAACTAGTATATACTAGTAATTTAAAATATTATATTTATTTTTTTATAAATATTTTCTATGAATAGTTTTATAGGATTTTTATAGGTAATATTTTATATACCCATTTCAGCTTTAGCTGGAAATTTTTATAGAAATCTATTTTTAGATTAATTTATAGTTTTTATACTAGTAAGCTTATAATTTTTATTTCATTAAATATTATTTTATTTTATATTTATAGTATTATACTAGTATTTTTTAATAGTAGTTATTTTATACATTTTTTGTACTATTGCTAAATAAGAATTTATT